AGTTTTCTTCCATTTATATGGGGAAACTCCGTCAAAATTTGTCTAACATCTTGTCCAATATGTCACTATGGCCCAAAAGTTCTTCAAATTTTTGCATTTTCATTCAAAAAGGGCTAATTTGTTCCAACTTTAAATGTTTTTATTCTTCCAATTGTTGAAACTTTATGTGTATTTTGGAAGGTTTAGTCCTCATTTAACTTGGAAATAGTTATTATGCAATTAGAATTTTTACATTTTAGAAAGTATATTTGGTAAAGTGAGGAAAATTATGCCTATAATTTTACATGTTTAATGAGATTTCTTCTCTTTACTTAATTTTGCAAGTAAGTGATTGACATAGTTGATAAAAGGTTATACTCCTCCTTTGATTAGTCTTATATATTTTCTAAGAGGGAATATCTATTTATTGTCCTTTAGTTTAAAAAAAAAAAAAAAAAAGAGAAGAAAAGAAAGAAAAAATTATTCTACTCCAATGATTTTTGTACCGAGTAACCGGGGGTTGGCATCTACAAATGTCGATTTTCGCGTAAAAAGGTACTTGAATTAAGAGTATGCATTGCAACTTGAATAAGTGAAATGTTGAGTAACCGGGAATCTTCACCTAAAAGTGTCGATTTTCGCGTAAAAAGGCATTCTCACTAATTAAGTAAAATTAGTATGAATAAATCCCTCTTAGATGTAAAATTTTGAGAAAAGGATGATTATAGGAGGAGGAAGGCTATAAATCGACTATGTGGGTTGCTTATTTGTGAAATTAGGTTAGGGTAAGAGATTAAGTTTAACTTGTTGAATTTAGGGTATAATTATCTTTCCTTTACTTGATATTATGAGTATTTAGTGTAAATTGAATAATTATATAATAATTATTTTCCAAGTCTTGAGGAATTAAATTGGACAAAGTGCATATATTGTTTCACCTCTTGAATCATTGCATTTGATTATGTGTGAATTGCTTGAGGACAAGCAATGATTTAAGTGTGGGGGAGTTTGATAAGTGACTAATTTACGTAATAATTGTATGACATTTTATATTATTTTTAGTCACTTTGGTTATATTATTGGAAGAATATGAATCATTTTGGCTATAATTGGTGAAAAATGCTTTTAAGTGATTAAATGAGGTTTTTATCACTTTTTACTTGGATTTTGTGTATTTTGACAGTTTTGACACATTTTCGTATTTCGGCTATAACTTGAGTTACAATGATCGGATTGGGATGATTCTTGAACCCATTTGAAGATAAGAGATAGATCTACAACTTTGGTGAAGACATCTAAATCCAGTTTGAAGGTTTTCCAGGTCAAAATGCCGAATTACAATAGCAAATTTCTACTGGTCGAAACTGGAACAGGGCAATGAGCAGGCAAGGGTATTTCAGTCATATCTCAGCCTACACAGATCCAAATGAGGTGATTCTTGATGCATTAGAAAGATAACTCAAAAGGCTACAACTTTCGTGTTTTAGACATGAGCTGGTTCAGCCTCTAACATCAAGAAAAGATTGGTTGAAGTTGGGCCAAAAACAGAGCAAGTGATCCACACTCGGATCCACTATTCATCCGAACCCTCGTTGTTTCTGGTTAGTGGATCCGAGCTCGGATCCATACGGATCCGAGGTACTGTAGCAGCTCGGATCACTGGTCAGAAAAGGCTGCTCTGTACGCGTAAAACTCAATTTCACCTCCACCAACTCACATTGGATGCTAGACATGTGAGAAACATTCCCAGCTGTAAAAGGGAGATGTAATCCTCATTTCTTGACCACCTTTCATCATTAAATAGCCAAATGCATTGCAAAAAGGAGATGGGGAGTTCATAGCAGAAAAATAGAGAGACATACGGGAGAAGCTTGAAGTTGCAGAAATGTAGCTCTTTCATCTCCCTAGTGTTAGTTTAGCTTAGTATAGAGTAGTGTAGCTTTTCCATTCTTGTTTATTATCTAGATTAGGATGAAGATGGAGGATGAAGAAGGCAAGGAAGAAAGCTCATGTGACAAGGGTTGTATTCCTTCCAAACTCTTTATCTTTTGTATTTGATTCCAAGTTTAGTTAATATACAAGTTCTGGATTTTGTGTTCATTATGTGTTTCTAAAGTTTATACCTTGGGTTTGGTTGAACTTTCTATAATTGTTAGTGTTTATTATTTGGTTATTTGACTGCTATGATTTGAGCAAGTTATTTAGCACTTTGCTCTTGAAATCATGATTAATCTGGTACCATTAATTGTGATTATCTAAGGTGTTGTTTCTGCAATGAAAATTGAGATTTAACACTAGTTCAAGAAGTGCTAAACATAGGGAGTACACTCACGAAAGTAGAGGTGCACTTATGTGGTTTTTAGTGATTCATTTCATGTAATTTCATTGAAGAAATGAACTTGTAGCTAATTTCATAACCATGAAAATAGGTATGGATTAGTTATGAGTATAATTGATTCACTACGAAAGTAGGATTCAAATGCATAAGGAAATTACACCATAATTAGCCTAGATGTAGTATTCAATGATCCAAATATAGCACTTGCATGAGTAGTTAGGGATACCACAACCCAAGGAGCTTTCATTTGTTATTTTGTATAATTTCAGTAGGTTTAATTTGTTATAATTCATTGATAGTCTAAATAATAGAGAAGCTTTAGTAGTACCGGTAATTGCAATCTTCCTTGTGGGATCGACCCTTAATACCCTATACTCGCTCACGATTCGTATACTTGCGATAAATCGCGTGTGGGGTATTTAGGAGTTTATAAATGTAAAACTTGATTAGGATGAGCTTAATTGTATATGTATACTCCGCGCACAGTCATATTTGTCAGAAAAAATGTCAGAATTAACTAATGTTTTGAACCCAAATCTTCTCTTCTTTAAAGGTAATTCTTTAATTCTACTGAAAATGTATGTCTAAAAGGGCAAAATAAATGGAAATTTTGTCATGTGAGTAGAACAGTGACATAAATATTACTATATCACTGAATATGTAGGGAAATTTAGCATAGTCTACTTTTGAGCATAAGATATTTGGTAAAGAATCCTCATTTATATATTTATAATTCATAGTCTCTAGTTCATGATGCGTACATTAACGAATTAGAGGTGATTTGCACTTGTACCCTTTCGATATTTTTTTGAAGCATTTTGCCTCATCCATCAATCAAAATCAAGGCTGATGGTTCAATAATGTCTGAACTTCCACAATTTCCCTTGAACTAGGAACCTTAATTGCATTTGGCCCCTGATAAATGTTATAGGTATTTTATACCTAGCATTCTAATTATTTTCCTTTTCTTAATTCTTCTCCTTTTCTCTTTTTGTCTTTCCTTTGTCTTATTCTTCATTTTACTTTTATTTTTTCGTCCATTCCTTCTTGTCACTTTTAAGCTATTATATTACTTTAATAATTGATTTATTAAAATTCTAAAGTTTAAATATGTAACAAAATTTTCGTTTCTCAATTATATATGCTTTGTAATACAAGTAATAAACAAACAACACCTACAACAAGATTAACATCAGAGATTGCAATTAATTAGTAGTGGTGAAAATCTAAAAAAAAGTTTTGAGAAAATAAAGAATGACACAAAGAAAATTAAGAAAACTAAATGCCGTAGCATATGTAATTCTGAAATTAATTATTTTGATACACATATAAAAATTAAATTTTCTATTAATCAATCATTAAAATTAACATATCGCTTAGTAATTGCAAGAAATAATGGGAAAATTAGAAAAAACTAAAACGAAGAGAGAGAGAGAGAGTAATAAAAGGGAAAAAAATGTGAAAGTAAAATATCAAGGGTTATTCATCCTTAAACATGAATTAAGGAGTAAATTGAGTATAAAATTCTATAAGGGGCAAAGTGTAACTAGAGTCATAATTGAGAGTAAATTGCAAGCACAAACTTAAGGGCTGTGTTTTAAAATTCGGACCCGACCGGTCGGTTCGACCGATTGAACCGGGAACCGGCCAAGTGTCCGGTCCGAGTCATGCTTAAAAATCGAGTAAGTAAAAACCCGGTCAAAAACCGGGTTTGACCGGAAAAATCGGGATTTTCCGGTTCAAACAGTTTTTTTAAAACAAAAACTCAAACTTTTCAATATTATGTTTTGATCCTAGATTGTTAAAAATTATTAATATATCTCAAATATTTCATACTTTATCAATATTTTCTTAAAGTTTGGTATTATTTTTCAATTAAGTCCATAATTTTAATTCTAAACTTGTTAATGCTCATTAAATAATATAAATTGTTACTTGATTGTTCTAATTTCTTTGTATTTTCTTGTTAAATATATTTAAAACATCAAATATATATGAATATACCTTTATTAATATTAACATGTTATTAGGTATTTTACATATAATATTTTAATTTTTAAATAATTTTTATTTTTGATGTCATCCGTTCAACCCTATCGAATCTGGTTGAACCCATTGACCCCTGACCCCTGAGCTTGACCGAGTCGATACCCGGTCCGATTCTGAAAACATAGCTTAAGGGTACTAACATCCTTCATCCTAAGAGCGGAACTAGGGGAAAAGTGGGAGGGGAGAGCATGAAGGGGTTGGATTTTAGAAATTCATGCTTTCCCTCTCCCTCTCATAAAATTTTGAGAATTTCAAAATCTTCTACATATATTTAGATATTTGCCTTCCCCTCACCCCTTCCCCCAAGTTTTAGAATGTCATGTTTTCTCCTCCCAAAAGTTTGAGAATTTTCAAAATTTCCTATATATATTAAGCTATTTGTTCCCAAAACTTTTCAAAAAATTTAATTTTGACTCCAAAATTTACATATGCATTCATTTTTCCCCTTCATACTAAATTTTCTAGTTCCACCATTGCTTCATCCAATCATTATCTTCAACTATTAATTCGGGTGACAAAGTGCTTAGAAAATAACGTTAGGTGGTGAAATGCAAATTTCTCCAAACATTTAGCAGATTTACTGCAGTTAACCGAGGAAAGGCCAAAAGCAATGTTAGCATTAAAAACGGAGCACCTGGCTTGGGATTCCGACAAAAGAAAGTGTAGGAGCAAGTTGTGGAGGAAAGACGTGCTTGTACAATGGTCCAACACGATTTTCATCCACCATAACTATTCCATTTGTTTCCAAGAATGGAAAATCATATTTATACCTGTCAACAGATTCAGCAAGATTTAAGCAAAATACTGGATATGTAAAAGTATTGCATTTTCTTATCAAATTAAGAGGAAAAACTAAATACACTGATTGATTTCTACCTGGTACAGTGAATTATGACATCTGCAGCAATCAAAGCTCCATCTTGGAAAGCTACCTCACCATTTTCATGGCAATATCTATCTGGTGGGCACCTGCAAAATTAGGGTTTGTACAGTAAGGAAGGCGTACGATCAAATGAATTTTCGACACACCTAATTGTATTGCTTCCGTATATTGGAACCACATCAGAAAAAAAACGAATAATCAACCAACTTAATCAGGTAACATTAATCAAATATTTTTGTAAGCACCTTATGATTTATATGCAATTAGTTCCTAAATCAAAATTTAGTTATTGTACCTTTGGATGCTGCCATACATTTTTGTAGGTCTCGAGTTTTCTGACTTCAACTTGTGGGCATCTTGATGAAACATGAACTTCTTTGGCTACCTTGGCAATGTCGAAGGCTATATCGAAGCCACTTGGCCCGTGACCAATCACAACTACAACCTGCAACATTTTCCAAGGGAAACAAATATATATATATATATATATATCTTTTGTAAGCACTTGTAGGAAGTCATTGTAGAAAATAGAAAATAGTAACAATGACTAAGCAAATTGTTCATTGATACCTGATCCTTGTAAGGCTCAGGAACACGATAGTTGTGACTATGAATTTGTTTTCCGGGCCACTTTTTAATTCCTGGCAATATTAAAGAAGTGAAGAAAAGTTACAAAATAGGAGTACCAATAGAAGCACCAAGTCAACGCTGCAGGTGCAGTTGTGCTTAAGGTAGTTATTCCACTGGTAATGTTAACCCTAATTTTTAGTTTTTTTTCCCCTTCCAAAAGTACATAAAGATTTCATTTAAAATGGCCTAGTCAAACACATTAGGCTCACAAAGTACTCTTACAAATTTTAATCATATAGTACTAAACTAGACTAGATGCCATCGTTCATCTGGTTGTACAGTTACATGCATCAAACAAATATTGTTCTCATATGTATGGTCCATCACCCATCCCCCAACCCCACTCCGGGAATCATATAGTACTAAGCTACATTATATGCCATAGTTCATGTGGTTGTACAGCTTTATGCATAAAATAAAGATTGTCTGTATTTGCATGTATGGTCCCCTCTCCCTCAAATTATATAGTTACTAAACTACATTACGTGCCATAGTTCATATGGCTATGCATTAAACAAAATTGACTCTATATGTATGCTTCCCCAGTCCCTCCCTCTTCAGTTTTGAAGGTGGTTTAGCTCCCTTCGCTTCCTAATGACTAGGGTTATTCACGCTCGCAAGCGGCTCTTATACGAGTTCGACTCGAGCTCGAGTTCGAACTCAAAAATATTACTCGTTGGTTCGAGAGCTCGATTATATATATATATATTTTTTTTATTTTAATAGTAAAATTACATATATATTTCTAATATTTTATTATTTGTTAAAAAATTATTATTTTATTCATTTTTAAAAATAAAATATTTGTTATTTTATTTTTTTAAAAAAAAATAATAATAATTTTTATTTTTTAAGCTCGAGCTCAACTCGAATTTAAGTCGAACTCGAGTTCGAACTTGACATCTTGAGCTCGTTGAGCTCGAGTTCGAGCTCGAATTTGAGTTTCATAAAATTAACTGGAAGCTCGCCTCGATTAGGTCAAAAGTCGATTCGATTTGACTCGTTTGTACCCTACTAATGACTCCGTTACATTTGTTCCCTTCCTCCATAATATAAGAATAGTTATAGTTTGTTGACGTTGACCCAAAAAAAACCCTCCCTCTCCCCTTTCCCAGTGGGAAGAATGAATACCTGGAGCATTTACTAATTTTGGCTGAGTGTTATGACCATTACAAACCACGACCATGTCGAAATGTTCTTCTTTCTTGAATTGATCATCGCCATTTGTTTTCGACTCAACAACCCACATACCATTCTTTTGCTTAACAGAAACGACTTCAGTATTAAACTGAATCAGATCATCGAGTCCAAAATCTCTAGCAAAATCATTCAAGAATTTGAGGACCTCCTTGTAATCAGGAAAACATAAATATTTACCATTTTTCTCGATTGTGAAGGAGTAATCTGTAAATTCCATAAGTTGCGTAGGTAGATTTGTCCGAAGTGAATCGTAAATGCTGCTATGAACGATTCTTCTATTAGGGTCGAGGCCAAGTGGATCAGTCTCGACTTCAGGATCGTACACCCACAAACCACCAATTTGGTTTGATTTCTCATAGACCACAATCTGCTGGCCTTCTTTTTGAAGCTCTCGGGCTGTCAAAAGGCCCGAAACACCAGCTCCGATCACTGCCACCTTCAGAAGTTGCCGTCCCATATATAATGGTACAGCCCTGCAGCTTATCGTATTAGATTAATTACTAATACTATAGTGCCAAGGTGTGTATATATATACACACACATCCATACACACACATATATAGTATTATATAACTGCTATTGTGTAGTATAGAAAACATATTTGTGAGTTTTGAATTTTTAACAGCTACTTTTTGTTCAAAAAATTCAAAAAAAGAGGGTTTATTTTAGGTGTCAAATGAAATCAATAACAAACTTAGAAAGTTTTATAAATGCAAGTTACCAGTGAAGGAGGCTGAGGTTGTTGCTCCTCTATCTTTTAAGGAATATAAATTTTAGTTCTTACAATTTTATAGAATTTTACATTAACTCCTTGATACAATTAGTTGGCATTTGCAATCGGAATTTAAAAAAAAAACAAAAATTAGTGGCGTACGTACATGAGCTTTAAGTTCTTCATTATTAACATTCTTTAAGATCAAAATTGAAACTACAACTTTTTAAACATACTTGGTAAATTTAAGTCGGAAAAGTATGACCAAATTGTGGTATCCATTTGCTCCATCGTTACAAGAACAAGAAAGAAAATGAGAGAATAGACATAGTTTTCAGGCAAATTTATTCACTACCAGTATACAATTTATAACATCTGAAGAGCAGTTTAGTTTTCTTGGCGCATATTATGATGGAATTCAAACACTAACTGCAAAACTGCTTTTTGTTTCTTGTGCTAAATTCACATCAAATTACAATTGACTTTGCAGTTAAAATTGTCACAAAGATAAGTACGAAAAGGCAAATCATTTTTATGTTGTAGATAAAGTTATATACAAGTTTTGCCTTTGAAAATGGACATTTCTATTGCCAAATCTGCAAGATATTTTTTTTCTCTTCATTTATGACAAATGTATCCTTGGCTTTCAAGTAATAAACACTTGAAGATATGGGTGTTCGTGTGATGCATGAAAGGAGTGGTTTTCTTTGAAAAGGGAGGACATCTAAAGCAACACACAGAGTAATTTTCTTACCCCGTAACTTGTGATTTCTTTGACACCAAAGGATGACGCGAGCGATGCTAACTCCCTGACCACTTCTTTGCCAAATTGCTATGATCTGCTTCTAGTACTCGGTAGACCTTCTGAAAATTTTTTCGAAGTTATTTAGCTCCTCGTTGAGGGCATGGATCTGATCCTTGCTGGAGACCTTGATGACAGTGATAGTATGATATAGTAGTCCCTTGAGCAAACTCTCTACCTCGAGAAGCCAAATCTTTGCCTTGATGAGCTAATCCATGGCTGCTAGCAATAATCTTGCAAAACACTCATGAATTTTTATTGCATTCTTTATTATTATCCAGTTTGTCAAATTTTGTCCACACATGAGTACCAGCCTGTTCTTGAAGACTTGCGTATTAACAAAATGTAAACAACAAAAAAGAAAAGAATCATGGAAGTTAGAGAAGATAATTACTGAAAAGGGAACGAAAAAGCCATTCGGTAGCTTTGTCCTTTCGGCCAAAAACAAGATTAATGTGTTTAAAATGCACGCAAACGGGATTGATTCTCTCTGAAGAGGCGGGGTACCAAATTACGTTGAGTTAGTTACCATGTGATTGATGATTAAAAATATGTTACAATATACTTATTAAATCCGGTCCAGTCGGGCACTGGGTAAAGAAACCGGATCAATGGTTACTGGTTCCCAAGTTGAATCGGTGGATTATTAAAATAATGTTTATAAATATAAAATAGTATTTCTTGCACATAGTTTAACAAATTTTCTCTCTTTCTTTTTTTTTTGTTTCTTGATTAATTAATTACTAGCATGTCATCATGTGAAATATTCTTATTGTTCAAGGTATATTGCTATTTTGCTTCATTTTTTAAATGTTTTAACAAACATATTATGCACGTACAGAATCTATTATTATTTGGAAATGTACTAAATATGCTTCAAAATAGTAACATTAGGGATCAAATTTGCTTTTGTCAAAATTTTAGGGACTAAAATTACACCAGGTATCAAATTTATTTTTGCCAAAAATTTAGGGACTTAAATTATATAGGTACCAAACATTAAGGACCAAAATTACATTTCTTGTTATTGACAAATATTTGGTAGCTTTCTAGATATACCCAAAAAAAAGCGAGGCAACGTTTTGTATAATTTTGGTAAATTTACTATAATCAATATTGATAAGTGTTTATTATATATGGTTATTAGCAGTATTTTGTACTTTTTTTGTACAAGTTAGGAGTTTTTAAGATATAACTTCCTTTCTAAGTTTCTAAATTTTGTAAGTTTCGTTTAAGTAATTTAATGTGCAAACTTGGTTATATTTGTAGGTTTTGAGGAGAGTTATCAATGGTGGATCGAGATGGATTCAATTTGAACTCATCAGTGCTTAATTCAACGGCAATTTGGAAAGTAGAAGGGCATCAAATGCAAGTATTATTGGTGAAATACATGAGCAAACACTTGGACATCTTGCCTATGATAATAGTGATCAATTGAAGCAGAAAAGAAGCAAGAAAATAAACCAAACGAGAAAACACGACCTCAAATATGCGGGCTCAGGTCGCGTATTCTGAGGTCATGTATTGTACTCTGTCTCTCTACAACTATTTTTGCAACTTGCGCTATTTTTACACTACTTTCCAACTCAATTCTAGCTCAGAATTTCGATTGCATATGCTCAAGATTCCTTAAGAAAGAGAAAAAGAGCTTTATGTCATATCATGAACCACTTTTTGACTCTCCTAACATGATATATGTGAAAATCATTGAAGAAAGAGGGAGTTAGTATCTTGGAGAGAGTTGTTATCAGATTTTAGTTGAAGAGTTAAGTTTTAGTCTGTTATTACTCTCTCTAGTTAGGAACTTGTAAGAAAAACTTGGAGAATTTATTGTACCACTCATTTTTGTTGAAGAAATGGAAGATTTGGGAGCTTGTTCATCATCTTGGCTAAACTTTCTGTCTTTCTCTTTACTTGTGATTCATTATGTGTGCATGCAACTAACTTATGTTTTTTCTTGTTTTATATCATGCGAGTAGCTAAATTTCTAGATTTAGGGAGTAGATGAAATTTATGGCTATTTGATATGAGTTGAATATGATTTATGCTTGCTACCTCTTGTTTTGACTTGTTCATTTATGCATACTTATTACTTGTTATTGCTTGATCATCAATAGCAAGTTTTAGTTGTTACTATTCAATGAAAATTGATAATAATGATGAAACAATATGAATGAAGCTTAAGGAGTAGACTCATGAGAATAGAGATGCCCTTAAGTGGATTGTTTTTGCATTTGATGAAGAGTAGATCTAGTTATTTACCATGAGAATAGGGAAAACTAGACTAATCTAGGCCATTATATCATGAAAGTGAGTTTTGGTAAATATAAAAATGAATACCTAGATAAACAACAGTAGTAGCAAGAGATAAATCTATTCTCTTGCATCTTTTGTGTCATAATTGGACTCTATTTCTCTAGACTCAAGTATTTAGTAACATTTCTCCATTGTTATCTTGCAAGTGTTAGAGTTAAGTTAGGTTATTAATAAGTATTGTGATTTCTATTGCTTTATTTAGTAGTTAGTCTAAATAATAGAATAAGCAAGCACCTAGTACTTGCGTTAGTTGTTCCTTATGAGATTGACCCGATATATGCCCTAAACTACTATTTGATTTGTATAGTGGCAGTCAAACGGATGTATTTTGGATTTAAAACTTGCATTTATATCGAGAACATGTCAAATATGATGGCACAAAGAATGCGCCCAATTTTCAAATATCTGATACGAATCATGCAATTTAGGTTGCTTTCGCCTTCTTCCAAATAGGTCATTTGCTACCAAGTATTTGTTGGAATTCTAGGGATTTTACGAGAGGTTTAGCAATAAGCAAGTGACATAAATAAATAAATTAATCAATTTATAGGAAAGAGAACTTAAGAAAAAATAAGGGGTGCAAATACAAAGCAACATTAAAAATTTCTACACTTTCCAAGTTTAAAAGTAATTTTTTAAAAATTGAAGGGGCTTGGGGGCAATTAGCCGCTAAACTACATCTGGCTTCGTCATGGCTTGGTTGAATCTTGTTAATTTTCTAACTTATTGCCTTCTTCCAGTTTTGCTTTTAGTTTTCTAGTAACCTCGTCTGACATATATATTTTTTCTCCTCAATTTTCTGACCTTTTGTTTGCTTTTAACATATTTTTCTAACTTTCCCTGTAGAAGTTACTTTCTATGCAATGACCCTTAAGAAAAATTAGACTCGCTTGGATACTAAAGTGTTCGACTTGATTATATTCATTTACATCCCTAATTGATCCCACTTGAAGCAATGTAGCTCCGCTTGTACAATTTGTTGACTATTACATGTGCATCAATGGAATTGAAAAATCATAATATGTGTTTTTTTTTCCACACTTTGTATGTCATGTTTTGTTTAGGATGATAATATGTTGCCAAAAGATGTGTACCGTCAGTTCCTCTTGTAATTTGAAGTCTGTGAAGCAGGATTTGAATCTCAATAATCAAATGAGATTGTGGGAAATTAAATAAAACCAAACCTTAACCAGACGGTTAGGCCAACCACGAAGGCACCCTTAATATTCTCCTTTGAACCCCGGCCCAAGGAGCCACCCTTAAGGCGCTCCTTTAAATCCTGCTTGGTACCTGAGTTCTTCTTTTTCATGAACCCAAGTAGTAAAAATGTCAGTGTGCAAAATAATTAACTTATTTCGGAGAAGAATAACTATTATTTTCATGCTATTTAGCTTTTTCAGACACAGAGCTAAGAGGACTCTAAGAGGTCTCCTCTAACCATTGGAGTCGACCCCAGTAATTAGTTGGGAATTTCATACTACTTTTAGTTAAACATTGTACACGTAATTCCTTGAGTTTTGGGAATATTTTCCAATTAATTTTCCCAAAAATGTAATGAAGAAAATTAGAGCAAATTCAATCCCCTAGTATTTAAAAAAGAAACAAAAAAGAGAAGTAAAGAAAGAGCTCTTTTGAAAATACGAATATCACTTATCCTGAAAACTCACAAGGAATGAACAGGAGGATAAAAAAATTAGGTTGGACTGCTGAAGCAAGCAGCTCCATTCGTACCAATGCAATCACATCATCACCCTCTTCACTTGCACGGTAAAATTCGTACTCTTCGTTGAGTTGTGAATTAGGGCACCTCAGTAAAAGATGGAAGAGCAGTAAAAAGGTGTTGAAGGAAAGACGAAAGAGTGGTAAAGATTTCACAAGAACAGTATTCGTGTGGTCCGGAATTATTGCAAATTTGGAAGCCAAGAAACATAGAGGAGATAAACTTGCCGCAATCTTTGTCTTTAAAAAGGCCAACTCTCTACCAGCCGCTCTCTAAATCCAACCCGTGAAATCCTAACGAGCTCCACAAGTTTATCAAGAATCCTTTTCAGTTGCTCGTCAGTCCGTGGTAACCGTACTTGAGCAGCTAGCCAGTCCAAGTATATAAACTGCAACAACATCCGCAAAGCTAACATTACTTTTGCATATGCACGTATTCTTTCCTCCACCTCTCAAAAAAATTTCTTTAGTGAGCAAACTCCTTCCCCGCTCATTCTTTAGCTTCTCTCATGGGAGAGGCCAAATGGTGTCTCACCCTTTTTTTTTTCATTTTATCTTTGTATTCATAACAATGTTTCTTGCGAGAGTTTATCCTCTATTAGAATTTTCCTAGTGAGAGTTCTCATATTTAATTTTTTTTATTTTGTGAGAGTTTTTATTTTTATTCCTCTTTTTTTTTATTTTTTTATTTTTGCTTTGCTCTTGTTAGAGCCAGCTTCAGTCTCAAATCAATTTGGTTAAATTTAAACTTCCTCGGGGAGCTTGAAAGTGGTACCTATTAGATCTGTTTGTAGAGAACATGCCACATTAGCTAATGGAGATGTAAAGATTTATCTGTATTTTAAATAAATTTCATAATCACCAATATTATCTTTTCATTGATTTTCTCTCCCTTCTGTATGTTGCATTTTTTAATGTATTTACTGCCATTAGAGCAATTTTATCTAAATGATTGAAACTCTTTTGTTTATTAGGAAAAATATGCAAATACAAACATGCACATAATTAGTTATATGAATGGGTTATATTTGCTTTAGTATTAACTTGACACAGCTTATACAAATTATAACTATAGTTATAGTAAAACCTCTATTAAATAATAATTTTCCAAATCCCAATTTAGGCTAATGAGTTAAATTAATAATTTGATAAAATAATATTATAATAAAATTTTTTGAAACCTTACATAACCCTTTGGTCCTACTCATATCATGAATTAATATTCACTAAAATTACACATAAACATTGTTCAAAATATGCTTCACATTTCATCAAATGAATTTTTAGTCCTTCATTTTAAAATATTAATTTTACATTCCTTAAAAATTTAAGTTAGCAAAATTTGGTCCCAATCTAGGATTTTGACCACTTTTTACCCAGAATCTATCATGTGACTCACACATGTTTATTTTTTTGGAGCAAAAAGATTAAATACCATTTGTAATTAAATAAATGATCCAATCCATATTCAATTTTTACTCTAAAAAGGTGAAATCTGATCCAAACTATATATATATATATATTTCCTTAAAAAATGTAAGATATGACACGATCTATATTCATTTTTCCTCCTAAATAAGTGGGATTTGACTTTTTTATATCTAATGAATAATCACATGTGAGTCAAGTGGTGATATCCAAACTAAAAAGTAGTTGAAAATCTGCATTGGGACCAAAGTTTACTGACTTGAATTTGTAAGGAATGCAAAATTAACATTTCAAGAGTGAAGGATGAAAAAATCTATTTGACAAAACGTAAGGGGCGTTTTTAAAATATGGGTCTATTGTTGTTGTTTGTTTGACCTCTTCATAATAGAAAAATTATATCAATTATATACGTGCACTGGTTTATATGAATTGGTTCAAGTAGATATGAATTAGATTTTATTCGTCAGACTTTTAGCATCCTTTGATTAATAGAATAATTCATATTTTTATAAAATAAAATAAAAATTTAGTTCATTAAATGAGTGTTTCTTTGAATTATAAGTACACCAAATAAATTAATAAATTATTAATTAATTGATTAATTAATATCTCTTTAAATTAATAGAATTTGTATGGTCCCAAAATTATTAATTTATAGAGGTTTTATTCTAGTTGCAAACCTGTGCACTGTCTGGCATTTTATATGTTTACACATTGACCTATTACATATGCATATATGTATATGTATATGTATTCTTGAGTTGTTAATGGGATTAGCATTATAATTTCAGGTAAAGCATGTCTTCAAAAGTTTTCTTAATAATTCAAAATAGATGGGTAATTTGTTTCTTGATGGTTGTTCTATATAATTATATGCAAATTATTGTATTAACTGGAGAGCTAACAAATCATAAGTATTAAATGCATCTTATCCTTTTCATTTAATGGAAAAAGTGATCTAAAATGCAGTTCTAAAAGTTTACACATGCACTAAAACATTTGAAGGCTGGTGGAAATGGTTGTCCCATCTGCTAATACTCAGGAAGACTTATATACCCACATGCTTTAAATGCTTGTACGTACCTTCTTCAAATAGACAAATCATAATCTAAAATTAAAGATTGAAGTACTTAGAACCCTAGTTTAGAAAATGTGTCTACCTAAATATTTGCATTTTCTATGGCTGGTTTAAATGTTGCAAAAAAATATTTACCCACATTTTTTGGTTTTATGAACGGTGTCAAAATCCAATCGAATGAAACCATCTAAAATTTACTCAAAAGTTGGATGACAACTGAATATTACCGTATCATTGCAGCTGAGAAACGTGTGAGTATGGTGCTTAGGAACGCCGGTTTCCTCCATAAGTCGGTAGTGTTCTTCCACATCCGCCACCATCTTTTCTCTGGACGGCAAAGTGACCTTTCCCGACAACGCTCGCGCCACCCACTTGGCTTGTAATTCCGCCACACGAAAATTGGCAGTCTACATGTGAAAAAGAAAGAGCCAAAATTAACTATGCTTTTAATCCCAAACCTTCTCCGTTTTAAATCTAACTCTTTAATTCTATTGATACTGCATGTCTAGGAGGACAAGACAGAGGAAAATTTCATCATGTGTGTTGATTCTTTCCACAGCCGCAATGTTTGACTGTGGCATAAGTTTTTCATCCCACATCGCACAAAGCCAAGAAGAAATCGGCTACTCGAGGCCTATAAAAGGAAGAGTCCTCTGAAGATTTTAATTCGCACCACTCAAGAGAGTTATATGGGCTATTAGCTTCTTGAGTCATCTAGCCCATTCAGTCAAATATTTTAGGCTCTCTTGTTTTGAGTTTAGGAATATTTTCTAAACTCTTTTGTAAGTGCCTATTGGCCTAGGAACCACTTTCCTACGGTCTTTTGTATTTCTTCTTCATAGTAGAAATATTGCTCCTCCCTCGCCCGTGGACGTAGGTCAATTTGACCGAACCACGTAAATCTTCTGTGTCTTTTATTTGCTTTGTTATCCGTCTTTATATGGTCGGTTTTACCGCCTAATTATTATATGGCTGGTATCTACCGCCTATCTATTATATGGTCGGTTATACCGCCTACTTTGTGCTAACTTGAGTTTGTCTATTCCTGGCCCGGTCCTAACAAACTGGTATCAGAGCTGGTTGTTATATTTTGCAAGACAGGTTCATCTGGTGGGGCCCGTTCATCTGGTGGGGTCCGTCCATCCTGTGGGGCCCACTCATCCTGTGGGGTCCGTTTATCCGTGGGGCCCGCTCACCTTGTGGGGTCCGTTCATCCCGTGGGGCCCGCTTATCTCGTGGGGTCCGCTCACCCTGTGGGGCCCGCTCACGAGACTTGCATATTTGTTTGGCCAGTTTTTTGAGACAAACTTCAGTTACAGATTTTGTGGCAACAATGACGATAACAAAGACGGTTGTCGAGAAATTCGACAGGAATGTCAACTTCGGAATGTGGCAGCTCAAGATGGAGGCCATTCTTGTTCAAGACGGAGTTGATCTAGCGATTCACGGAATCGAGAACAAACCAGAAGATGTGAAGGATGCGGATTTCGCCGATATGGATAAGAAGGCCAGATCCAGCATAATCTTAAATCTCTCCGATGAGGTATTGCGTGAGGTAGCAACGGAGACTTCGGCCAAGGCTATGTGGGATAAATTGAAAGCCTTGTATATGAAGAAGACAGTCGAGAATCGGCTATATTTGAAGCAGAGTTTGTACATGCTTCGGATGTCTGAAGGTACATCTATACTCTCCCATCTTGATAAATTTGATTCCATTATTATGGATTTGGGGAATATAGATTCGAAAATTGATGATGAAGATCAAGCCCTATTACTTTTGTGTTCCCTTCCCCAGTCTTTTAAGCATTTCCGCGATACTATGATTTATGGAAAGGAAACAATTTCGTATCGGGAAATTAAATCTGCATTAAAATCTAAAGAGCAGATAGATAGGGATATTACTGGGGAAACTAGTGGGAGTCAAGCCGATGGCTTGTTTGTTCGGGGTAGATCTGAAAAGAGAAACACAGAAAATAGAAGTAGATCCAAGTCCAGACATAAAAATGTGGTGTGCAATTATTGTAAAAAGAAGGGCCATGTTATCTCTGATTGCTTTAAATTGAAAAATAAAGAAAAGCAAAAGGGAAATTTGTTGAGAAAAATACTGAATCCGCTGAGCTAGTATAGCAGCTGATGAGAATGATGGAACCATTTTCTGTGCAACGGAAAATAATTTTAGGTCTAACAATGAGTGGATTTTAGATTCGGGTTGTTCATATCATATGTGTCCCAATAGGGACTGGTTTTCAACATATGAATCAACTGAAGGTGGAGTTGTCTTAATGGGCAACAACGCTGTTTGTAAAGTTGTTGGCAAAGGCACAATCCGGATTAAAATGTACGATGGTATTGTGAGGACGCTCACAGATGTTAGACATGTTCCAGATTTGAAGAAAAATCTCATCTCTTTGGGCACTCTTGAGTCTATCGGGTGCAGGTATTCAGGTGGAGACGGAGTTCTCAAAATCACTCGAGGAGCTCTTGTTGTTATGAAGGCACACAGATCTGGTACTTTGTATATTTTGCAGGGATCTACTGTTACAGGTGCTGCTGCTGTTTCAACATCATCTTTGTCAGATACAGACATCACCAAATTATGGCATATGCGTTTGGGGCACATGAGCGAAAAAGGCTTGGGCATACTAAGCAAAAGAGGACTTCTTTGTGGTCAAAGTACCGGGCCATTGGAATTCTGTGAACATTGTATTTTTGGGAAGCAGAAAAGAGTCAGCTTCAGTTCACCAGCAATTCACAAGACAAAAGGTACTCTTGATTACATTCATTCAGATCTATGGGGTCCTTCTCGTGCTCCTTCTAAAGGTGGTGCCAGGTACATGTTGACTTTCATTGATGATTATTCAAGGAAAGTTTGGGTATTTCTTAAGCATAAAAATGATGTTTTCCTAACTTTCAAGCAATGGAAAGTTTTGATTGAGAAACAAACAGGAAACACATTAAGCGGTTGAGAACAGATAATGGCATGGAATTTTGTGGAGGTGAATTTAATGAATTCTGCAAGAATGAAGGAATTGTTCGGCATCACACCGTCAGGATGACGCCTCAACAAAATGGTGTGGCCGAACGTATGAACAGAACTCTTTTGGAGAGAGCAAGATGTATGATCTCCAATGCAGGGTTGACAAACGACTTTTGGGCAGAGGCGATCAATATGGCCTGTTATATTGTCAACCGTTCTCCTTCTGCATCTCTTGATTTCAAAACTCCTGAGGAAGTTTGGTCAGGTACTCCTGCTGATTACTCCAATTTAAAAGTTTTTGTTTGGTGTCCAGCATACATGCACGTGAATGATGGAAAATTGGAGCCTAGGGCTAAAAAGTGCATTTTTCTTGGGTATGCTTCTGGGGTGAAAGGATACAGATTATGGTGTCCTGATCCCAAATCTCCAAAATTTGTAATCAGTAGAGATGTTACTTTTGATGAATTGTCTATGTTATCTTCCAAGAAGGAGTCTTCTAGTCCTTGTACTACTGATAGTACACAGAAGCAGGTGGAGCTTGATATTGGCAGTTCTGGTCCTTCTCAGACCAAATCTTCTATTCACAATGCCAGTAGATGCACCTGAATCTACTGTTGAAGATAGTTCAGAAGAAGAGAGTATTCCATAGCCAGAGATAGACAAGGAGAGACATTCGACCACCACAAAGATATGCAAATTTAGTTGCATATGCTTTGTCTGTTGCAGAAGAAACTGATGCAGTTGGTGAGCCTTCCACCTATTCAGAAGCAGTTTCTTGTGATGATTCTGCAAAGTGGTTGATTGCGATGAATGAAGAAATTGAATCTCTTCATCGTAATGAAACTTGGGTTCTTGTAAAGCCGCCGTCAGCTAAGAAAATTGTTGGTTGCAAGTGGGTCTTCAAGAAAAAGGAAGGTATTCCAGGGGTTGAAGATGCAAATATAAAGCACGATTGGTTGCAAAGGGCTATAGTCAGGTACAAGGTGTTGATTTTAATGATATATTCTCACCTGTTGTTAAACATAGCTCTATTCGTGTTTTGCTTGCTTTAGTTGCCATGTATAATTTGGAGTTAGAGCAGCTTGATGTTAAGACAGCTTTCTTACATGGCGAACTTGAAGAACAAATTTATATGAGACAACCCCAGGGTTTTGAAATTGAAGGTAAGGAAGACCATGTTTGCTTATTGAAGAAATCCTTATATGGATTGAAGCAGTCTCCAAGACAATGGTATAAAAGGTTTGATTCCTTTATGTTGGGTCATGGTTATTTGAGGAGCATGTATGATAGTTGTGTTTACTTCCGGAAGTTAAATGATGGTTCTTTCATTTATTTGCTGCTTTATGTTGATGACATGCTCATTGCTGCCAAGAATTTGTCAGAAATTCACACTTTGAAACTGCAGTTAAATAGTGAATTTGAAATGAAAGATTTGGGAGCAGCTAAGAAAATTCTTGGCATGGATATCAAGCGAGATCGAGGAGTAGGGAAGTTGTTCTTGACCCAGAAAAATTACCTTGAGAAAGTTTTGGAGCGTTTTGGCATGAAAGATGCTAAACCAGTATCTACTCCTCTTGCTAGCCATTTTCGGCTATCTGCTGCTCAATCACCAAAATCAGATGAAGAGGAAGATTATATGGCACGGGTTCCTTATTCCAGTGCAGTCGGCAGTATTATGTATGCAATGGTTTGTACTCGTCCAGATATTGCACAAGCAGTCAGTGTTGTTAGCAGATATATGTCTTGCCCTGGTAAAACACATTGGCAGGCTGTGAAGTGGATTCTCAGATACTTGCGAGGTACTTCAAATGCATGTTTGGAGTTTGGAAGAAATAATAACACTTTGGTTGGTTTTGTAGACTCAGACTACGCTGGGATCTTGACAGGAGAAGATCACTTTCAGGCTATGTATTTTGCATTGGCGGTTGTGCTGTTAGTTGGAAAGCTACTCTACAACCTGTCGTAGCTTTGTCTACTACTGAAGCAGAATATATGGCTGTGACCGAGGCAATCAAAGAAGCCTTGTGGTTGAAGAGTTTATTTAGCGAGCTAAGTCTATATCAAGGTGTTACTGATATTCACTGTGATAGTCAAAGTGCCATACACTTGACTAAAGATCAGATGTATCATGAAGACGAAACACATTGATGTGAAGTATCACTTCATTCGGGATATCATTGCTGAGGGAAAAGTCCTTATTCAGAAAATCAATACTAAGGACAATCCAGCCGATATGTTTACGAAACCTCTTCCAGTTTACAAGTTCAAGCAGTGCTTGGACTTGGTTGGTGTTGTTTTGGTGATTTAAGCCCATTGGGGCTTATGTGGAGAAGGTGGAGCAGTTTTACTATTGTCGATGTGGACTCAAATTATGCCAAGGTGGAGATTTGTTGATTTTCAGCCGCAAGTTTGACTGTGGCATAAGTTTTTCATCCCACATCGCACAAGCCAAGAAGAAATCGGCTACTCGAGGCCTATAAAAGAAGGGTCCTCTGAAGGATTTAATTCGCACCACTCAAGAGAGTTATATGGGCTATTAGCTTCTTGAGTCATCTAGCCCATTCAGTCAAATATTTTAGGCTCTCTTGTTTTGAGTTTAGGAATATTTTCTAAACTCTTTTGTAAGTGCCTATTGGCCTAGGAACCACTTTCCTACGGTCTTTTGTATTTCTTCTTCATAGTAGAAATATTGCTCCTCTCGCCCGTGGACGTAGGTCAATTTGACCGAACCACGTAAATCTTCTGTGTCTTTTATTTGCTTTGTTATCCGTCTTTATATGGTCGGTTTTACCGCCTAATTATTATATGGCGGTATCTACCGCCTATCTATTATATGGTCGGTTATACCGCCTACTTTGTGCTAACTTGAGTTTGTCTATTCCTGGCCCTGTCCTAACAATGTGAATAGAACGGTTATTATTACATCAAAGAATATCTAGAGAAATTGTGCATAGCCTACTTTATAAATGCTATTTTCTTTCTAATGATAAAATATTTGGTAAACAATCCACGGTAATATTTTGCATTTTCAAAGTCTTTAGGTCGTGAGGCATGATTAACAAATTAGAGGTAAGGTTCTGTTCATTTCCTTTCAGTTGTGTAAACTATTATAATTTCGGTGTAAATTAATACATTTTAAGTATAATCTTGAATTATAATTCACATTTATATAAAAATTGGACGCGTTTACACCAAAATTCTATCAATTTACACAACTTCATGGAAAAGAAAATGGAGAGGCTCCATTTCCCCAAGAAATAATGCCAAAAGCACATATACCTGTTTTGGGATTCCAACGAAAGAAAGTGTAGGAGCAAGTCGTGGAGGGAAAACGTGCTTGTACAATGGTCCAACGCGATTATCATCCACAGTAACTATCCCATTTGTGTTCAAGAATGGAAAATCATATTTATACCTGTTAACAAATTCAGAAAGATTTAATGGAAATCCATCCCAGATGTATATAACTAATGCATTTTCTTATCAAATTAAGAGGAAAAATCTAAAACCACTGGTTGATTTCTACCCGGTACAGTGAATTATGATATCTGCAGCAACCAAAGCTCCATCCTCGAAAGCTACCGCACCATTTTCATGACAATATTCGATCTAGTGGATACTTGCAAAATTAGAATTTGCATACTAGGAAAGGTGTACGTATTTTGGAACCAAATAAATCAAAGCAACCGAATAAGCAACCATATATCTTAGTCAGATAGCACGTTAATCAAACATCTTTTGAGCATATACGCAATTAGTTTCTAAATCAAATTATGGAATTATACCTTTGAATTCTTTTTTCCTTTTGCTGCAACGATAATATTTTTATAACCTAATCTATGCTGTTCTACAGAGAGAAGCTGTCTAAAGAGACTATATAAGGGATCACCAAATTTATTAATCCGACTAGATCAAAGAGATGATTTGATACTTTCTTTAAAATTTTTTTTACTATATGTGGGATTTGATCTCCCGATCTATAACTAAAAGAGGGATTAAATCTCTTTTTTATGGCTCGGGTACCACACCTTTGAATGCTGCCATATATTTTCGTAGGTCTCGAGTTTTCTGACTTCAACTTGTGGGAATCTTGATGAAACATGAACTTCTTTGGCTACCTTGGCAATGTCGAAGGCTATATCGAAGCCACTTGGCCCGTGACCAATCACAACTACAACCTGCAACATTTTCCAAGGGAAACAAATATATATATATATATATATATATATATCTTTTGTAAGCACTTGTAGGAAGTCATTGTAGAAAATAGAAAATAATAATAAAGACTAAACAAATTGTTCATTGATACCTGAGCCTTACATATATCTTTTGTAAGCACTTGTAGGAAGTCATTGTAGAAAATAGAAAACAGTAACAATGACTAAGCAAATTGTTCATTGATACCTGATCCTTGTAAGGCTCAGGAACACGATAGTTGTGGCTATGAATTTGTTTTCCGGGCCACTTTTTAATTCCTGGCAATATTAAAGAAGTGAAGAAAAGTTGCCAAATGGGAGTACGAATAGAAGCACCAAGTCAACTCTGCAGGTGCAGTTGTGCTTAAGGTAGTTATTCCACTAGTAATGTTAACCCTAATTTTTAGTTTTTTTCCCTTCCAAAAGTACATAAAGATTTCATTTAAAATGGCCTAGTCAACACATTAGGCTCACTAAGTACTCTTACAAATTATAATCACATAGTACTAAACTAGACTATGCCGTAGCCACTTGGCCCGTTACCAATCACAACCACAACCTGTAATATATTCAAAGGCAAATTAATTTCTCCATTGGGAAACAGTTGTAAGATTACCAAAAATTGAAATATAATGACTAACCAATTTTTTTCATTAATACCTGGTCCTTGTAAGGCTCAGAAACGCGATAATTATGGCTATGAATTTGTTTTCCGGGCCACTTTTTAATTCCTACCAAGTGTTAAGAAAAAGGTGAAAATGTCACCAAAAAGAGTATGAATAAAAGCGCCAAAGTCAACTCTAGTGCACTTGTGCTTAAGGTAGTTCTTCTTCCACTAGGTATGTGCGGTTTTTTTTTTCATTTTTTTTTCTTTTCCAAAAGTGCATGAATTAATGTTTCCATCTAAACTAGTCCAGTCAATCATTATAAACACCTCAGAGCAAATCATAATTTTATGTTGAAATGACAGAACTATCCCACCTAAGTCCAAACATTTTGGACTTGAAAAGGATCATTTTTGCATTTGGTGCAAAAATGACTTTGGCAGTAAAAAATGGACTGTGGCATTAATATCACCCACAAGCAAGGCAAGGCAGAGAATTACTCTTAGAATCATATAGAAATATGCTACACTACATGCCACAGATAATGAGGTTGAAAATTTTGTACAATTATAGGCATCAAATAAATTGTCTTGATATATATGTGTCTTTGTATTTTTTTTTCTTCCCCTCGTTTTAGCTTGAGTGTGGAGGATGGATACCTGGAGTGTCTGCCAATTTTGGTTGAGTATGATGACCATTACAAATCACGACCGCATCGAAAAGCTCTTTTTGATTGGTTTGATCAACATCACTTGTTTTAGACTCAAGAACCCACTTACCATTCTTTTGCTCAACAGAAACTACTTCAGTGTTAAACCGAATCAAGTGATCCAGTCCAAAATCTCTAGCAAAATCATTCAAGAATTTGAGCACCTCCTTGCGATCAGGAAAGTACAAATATTTACCATTTTTCTCGATTGTGAAGGAATAATCTGTAAATTCCATAAGTTGCTTAGGAAAATTTGTCCGAAGTGAATCGTACATGCTGCTATGAATGATTCTCCTATTAGGGTCGAGGCCAAGCGGATCAGTCTCAACTTCAGGATCGTACACCCACACTCCACCAATTTGGTTTGATTTCTCATACACCACAATCTGCTGGCCTTCTCTTTGAAGCTCCCGGGCCGTCAAAAGGCCCGAAACACCAGCTCCGATCACTGCCACCTTATGAAGTTGGGGTGCCATATGTATGGTACAATCTTGTAGCTTATCCTGTTGCATTAATAGTTACATGGATTACTATACCAAGGTTTGAGCAGCTAGGAACGGAGCCAGGCCATAGGGAGGGTGGGCAATTGCAGAACCACCCAGGTCCTCCACCCCCAATCTTCTAAAAAAGGTACAAAGTTGGCTTGTAAAAGTCTTTAACATCAATAATTTTTCTAACATTTGCACCTGCTGAGCTTTATGAAACTCCCTTTCCTTTCTAGATTGCCCCCTTGTAATTGCTCAATATACTTTTCATGAAATGAAACATTGCTTCGTTTCATTCGTACATATATAATTGACTGACAATTAAAAGTTGTATCGTTTCTTTTGTCATAGACGTGCACTTACCAAATAAGTTGTCACGGTAGCTGTTTGGATCTTGTCTCCGCCACTACAAGCAGCAGCCATGTGTGTGTAATAATATGACCAAATAAATTTGTCTTGTATTCTTGATCAGCTGCTCCTCTTTATGAGAACAAGAATATAATCATATAATATATACGTAACATAAGGAGTGTGCTTTAGTTGAGGGCATTAAAAAGCAGCACTAAGAGAGATTCTCTTACCCGTGACTAGTGATTTTGTTGACAGGAATGGATGAAGCAAGAGCCACTTGGATTGGTTCGGATGGTTTCGGGATAGGCTAGTTAGGTTTCGAGGTCGCGTATTCAAGTCACCTTTCTACCGCTTATGTATTCTTGAGGGGTTAGCTGCACAAGTCCAGGGAGATTAGTCCAACAAAAAGTTGAAGTACTCCCTGTGTGAGAAAAAAAAAAAAAGAAGGATGAAGCAAGAGATACTAGCTCCCTAAGAGAAAGGACTGAACCAACACCTTTGGTCGTGCTTTAGTTACTTGTACTTCTCCATTATGTTGAGGGCATTAAAAAGCAGCACTACGAGAGATTCTCTTACCCGTGACTAGTGATTTTGTTGACAGGAATGGATGGAGCAAGAGATACTAGCTCCCTAGCTACTTTTTGCCACAAGTGATATGGTCTGTTCCCCGTATTCTGTCCAAGTTTCTTGTCCCCTCTCCTTGAGGGAATGGATTTGATCCTTGCTGAAGTGCTTGAAGATAATGCTAGGATGATCAAGTCGTCCCTTGAACAAAATCTCTACCTGGAGAATCAAAATTTTTGCCTTCACGAGCCTAACCTTGCAAGCCCCTTAAAATAAACAGCTGGAGAAGGAATTCCAATTTCCACCTACCGTATCAGATGACTTGATTGCCTCCCTAACTATGGCATTAGTTTTTGATACTAAACCAATTATTTTTAATCCGATGCCAAATATTGTAGAATTATAGGCCCATCCATTATTTTTTTATACCAAACCAATTATTTTTCTCCGATGCCAAATATCGTATTAAAATTATTGGAGCCTGCAACCAACGCTTAACAACCTCCATGAATTTTTAGTTGCACTGTTTAGCATTAGCCGGTTTTTCAAATTTTGTTCATACATGAGTACCAGCCTTTTCTTTAAGACGTACATATTGATTAAATGCAAACAATCAACAAAAATAAATAACTAAAAGAAGCATATAAGATGGATAAGATGATTAAAAATGGAATGCAAAATTCATTCGGTTGCTTTGTCACTTTAGCTCAAAACAAGAATTAATGTATTTAACATGGATACAGTGAGATTTGGTGCTCCTTGAAGATGGGGATCGGCTACCAACATCAATAATTGAAGACTAAAACTAGTTTGTTTAACAAGGTCATGTGGAGCCTATCGGTTACCAACAACAGTAATTTATGATTAATTGTATAACAAGGTTAAGTGGATTCCTGGGTGTTGAGGCTCCAGGAATTAAAAGTTCTAGATTTGAGTCCTCCTTGTCCAATCCCTGTTTCATAAATCTCTCTTCTCTCTGGTTAGAAAATTTTTTTTTTGAAAATGGGAATTCCTAGGTCTCCAAAACTCAGTTTACTTGATAGAAACATTAGTCAAGTTCAATTCTCATACCCTGCCTTTTCTCACCTTCCCAGCTTGTAAGGCTTGCAAGGTTATGTGGATTCCTGGGTGTTGAGACTCCAGGAATTTAAGGTCCTAAATTTTAGTTCCCCTTGTCCCATCCCTATTTTTTAAATCTCTCTCCTCTCCGATTAGGTAAAAAAAAAGAAAAGAAAAGGGGATTCCTAGGTCTCCAAAACTCACTTTACTTGATAGAAGCATTAGTCAAGTTCAATTCTCATACCTTGCCTTTTCTCGCCTTCCCAGCTTGTAAGGTTTGCAATCTCTTTTTGAAGAAAAAAAAATAAGGTGGAGGCCTACTGCTTGTATTTTATAAAAGCAAAGGTGATTTATGAAAGTGTTAATTGCAGAAGAAAAGTAAAAGGGTTAGTTGCAAAATACACTTCTGAACTTTCTTCAAGTTGTAAAGTATCCCCAAACTATCAATTTCAGTACTATACATCCTCAGTATACTATTTTTCGTAACATGCTCTAATTAACATGCTGTTATGCGAATTTAAACTTGAAAGACAAATTTGTCCTACATACTTATATGGACTTCTTAATGTATCCAAAAAAAAAAAAAAAAGGTAGGGATTTGAAGGACTCTTCTTTTAACTTCCTACCCACCACTTTGACACCACTCAAAATGGAGAGAACTCATCTCTATCTTTTATTATTTTTTTAAATTCATAGAGATGATTTGATTAACTGCATTGGTTAATAATGTATCTGTATTTATAAATATTTGGTATGCTAGCATTTTGACTGGTAAATATTTAGAACTTATAGTGATGAAGTAATTAGGTGCACTGGATAACAATGTGCTTATATTTATAAATATTTGGTATACTTGCTTTTTGACTTGTGCATTTAAATCAAAGTTGTCAGTTTATTTTGTAAAAAAAAATTTTAAAAAAAGGTAAAAGTTTAGAATGATCTCAATTTTAGTACCAATTTCAATCAAAACTTGTTATTTCAAATAAATCGAAAGGAAAAAAAAAAATCCCCACTCGTGAAAGGTAGGCAGTAGTGGCCACGTTCATCAACTTAGAACTCTATGAAATTGCCCAAAAAAATTGTGTTTAATTGTATATATATATATATGTGTGTGTGTGTGTGTGTGTGTGTGTGTGTGTGTGTGTGCAATTATGTATCATTTCTCCCATTTTAGAAAAATCCTCTCTTTCATCATGTAGTGTCCTAAGAGTTTAATATGCTTTTTTCTATACAATATCTCTACTCTTATACTTCTAAATTTGACGTGTTATTTTTATTTTCATTACACTCTAGATCTACAAGGTTTCTTTTTAAAGACAGTTATTTGAAGCTAACCTCGTGCTACCTATGATGGTTTAATAGGAGAAGCAATAGAGATCAAGATTTTTAGAGGAATTTATTGTTTCATACTAAGAAAGAAGTTGGTATTTCAATGTCAATAATAAAATTGTGTCTAATAGGTGATGAACTGGCATGATGCTTCATATATACGTAATTAGCATTCTAATTAGTAAAATTCAAAAAATTTCATAATTGTTGACATTGACTGAAAATGCATAACCCACGAGTTGCACGTCAAATAGCTAGTTGGGAACTCTTCTAGATTTCTAAAATCAAGGAAGAAAAGGTCTTTTGCTGCTGACCTAATTCTTTAATGAATTGAAATTAAACATTCATGCTTCATTCCTTTTTGCCTTATCATGTTTTAACATTTTTTTTTCTTTACATCATTTAGCTGTTTTTTGTTTTTTTAACATTGAGCATTGTATGGCAAATTAACAACAGCTAACCCAAGGTCATCAGGTTGAAATTTCAAATATAATAGTTTAATAGGATAATAATAGTATCCATATTACATTTTTAATCTTGCAGTGTGCTATATATATGACTAATGATCAAGTTCTTGGACACGGCTTGTTTAGGTGGATTTTCTGGGACAAGTAAGTAGCAAAGGGCTATTTTGATGAAAAATTATTGAGAGACTGTTCTCTGTGTGTGTATTAGCAGATGGTTTGATGGGAGGTGGTGAGATGATTTGTGTTAGATGTCATAACTGGAAAAAATTACACAAGAGATTACCACCTTGACTGCATCAATTTCATGATAGTCGCTGTGGTTGTTCTCTTCTCATCCATGTTAAAAAAAAAAAACCCATATCCATGAAATCTTTTAAATTAAAAGTGTTCGCTTACCAAATTAATTAGGACTGTTCTTCTACATTTGAACAGCTACAAGTACTTTTTTTTATTTCTTTTCCCACAGGGAAGGGCATGTTCAGAAGCATTTATAGGTCACTTACAAAAATTTTCATAGATCCCCATTAGCACGGCTTTCATATCGAGAGCGAAATTCAAACACATGATCTTTTGTAAGAAAATAACTTATCCTTGCAATTGAATTAACTTATGTTCGCAACTACAAGTGCTAAAATACAATTGAATTAACTTATGATACATCTTTAGTCTACGCCTTTCACGAATCCCCCAACTCAACATATTCAAACAGGAAAACCTGGGACGAAAAGCTCAGCATTTCTCAAAATGGAAAAGTGGTCAACTAATAACGCAAGCTTTTGGACGCCTGTGCTCCTTATTGTTAGAACTCATCCAGTGTCTTTTCATTATCCATTAATTTGGAGTACGTAAATAAGATTCTTCTCTGCATACAACACAGTACCTCATTAGACTACAATGATTGTTCAAAAAAATAGTTTGAAGAATAAGGCTACGGTGGCCGATGGACTGAGTAAGTAGCTTGGTCAAAAAATTGACTTGAATTTGATTAAACTTGAGCTCTTAATAGTTGCTCAAGCTTTTCGAACTTTTAATTGACAAATTTCCATGACTCGACATTAGAAACAGATCAGACAAAGAGATTATCTAAAGTATTTATAAACCTTATATTAAAATGGCTAAAAATCGATAAAATTAATCAAACTATTAAAAGTAAGTATTAAGTAACCACTAGATCGGCCGCAAGTAGACTAGTATTTTGACTACAAAACCCAGAGTGGTCCAAATGTATATATCTTCGACCACTTTGTGGCTTACCAAAAAAAAAAAAAAAAAAAGCACCCATCTCCCATCAATCACAGGTCCACAAGTAGATAAAACAAGTCATAAATGGCAGATGATACACTATGTAAACTACAATGGTTTTTGCAAGTCTAGCATCCACAAAACATTTACTCAAGTTATTTCCGACATCAAACCCTTTCTTTAATATTTTATGGGCTATTTAATTATTTCGATAACGGACAATGAACCAAGATACC